CTGTGGCCTCAGGATACAGACCCGGCGCGGCCGGCCGCAGGGAGTCGCAGAAGGAGCGCAAGAGCCTCGCGGCGTCGGGCGCACAGCAGCCGGACAGCCCTGGGGGCCCGCAGCCGCCAGGTACGCCGTGGGCACCCAGGTCACCCCTCCCGCTGCTAGACTCGGGTCGCGGGGACTGGTCCCGCGTGGGCGAGTCAACTCAGAGCTGGGAGTCCTAATGGGCTCAGGGCCCGAGGCCACACTTCCGGGAGCCCCCCTCCAGAGTAATCACCCTAATAACCCTCCCAGGGGTTATCCTACAGGGTCACCCTCTCAGAGTCAAATTCCTCGGGGTCACCCTCCCGGGAGCCACTCTTGCAGGATCATGACCCTCCAGGGCCACCCTCCTGGGTGGCCACTTTCCTGGGTCACCCTGTCTCGGTATAAGGGCCAGGGTCTTACTCCCAGTGGGCTCATCCTAGTTGGGGGAGAGTAAGCAGAGCCGTGAATCTTGATGAACAGAGGGCCCTTGGTCACTCTCCTAGGGTCCCTGTCTACGAGGAGGGATGGGAGGCTCCTTGTCCCTGTGGACCCGTTCCGGGTCGGGGGTGGAGTGGGCTGAGCTGGAGGTTCCTGATGGACAGGAAGGCCCGGGGGGTGAGCACGGGAGACCTGGCGGTCCTGGTTCGTTGGAGGGGCCGGGGACTGACAGCCTGTCCCTGGCTGCATCCTTTATCCTCCCCACGGGCCTCTGCAGGATTCAACTCCATAGGCGACACGCAGTTGAAACCCTCAGGGATCCCAGACTTTAGGCCTCGACATTCAGGGAGGCCTGGGCACTCGAGGGTGCGGGAGCCGCGGGACGGCAGACCTGAGCCCCGGGTGAGTGAGGTGGACTTGGGGTCCCGCTCCTCTGCGCCTTATCCCTTTTCTCTTTCTCCATATCGTAGCTTCTGTGGCATCGACTGCAGGTGGAACAAATGGTGTATACAGGTGGGGAGTGTAACTGTGATTGAATACTGATTTTAACGGAGAACCGGCTTTAACCTTGGCAATCAGAATGTTCAAAGTTACCCTTTCTGGTTAGCAGAAGAGCCAACCCCCCGCTGGGTGTGCTGTCTGTACGGGTGAACTGCGTCAAGGCTTTTGCAGCTAAGCTCTCGCCTCCTGCTTACCCTGTTTTCTCCATAAAAAGACTATGACATTAAGGTTGGCAAGAAGGGCTATTGAGGTTAGAGTGTAGTTTGACCATAGAGTAGGCAGGTGTTCATATGGGCATTATTGCTTTGTCCTTGCTTGAGAAAAACTGTCTGTCCCACTTATAGCTTTAGGTTTGAGGCTTTGGCTAGGTAATGTTTACCTTTATCTGTAAAGTTAATTTGAGACATTGCTTGAGAATCAGGAAATTATTACAATAAAGATGGATACCTTAGTGGGTGTAGGACTCCTTTTAAAATTGAAATGCAGAGCTGGAGAGATGGCTCAGAGGTTAAGAGCACTGACTTTCTTCCAGAGGTCCTCAGTTCAATTCCCAGCAACCACATGGTGGCTTGCAACCATCTATAAGAAGATTTGATGCCCTCTTCTAACATGCAGGCAGAACACTGTATACATAATAAATAAATCTTTAAAAATGACTGAAATGCATCATACTGTACCTTATGTATGTATCATGTGTTTCTCTTAAACGTATTTAGAAAAATGGAAGGGAGAAAGACTGTTTTATCTATTACTTTTTTATCAAGTGAAAATACACTAGCCTCTGAAGAGTACCAGTTAAAATGTTGATATGTTGTTGGTTTGTTTGAGACAGGATTTCTCTGTGTAACAGCCCTTGCTGTCCTGGAACTCGAGTTGTAGACCAGTCTGGTCTCGAACTTATAGACAGACGCCTGCCTCTGACTCCCGAGTACTGAGATTAAAGGCATGCACCACCACACCCAGCTAAAATGTTGATTTTTAGCCTTTTTAAAATTAAAAATATTTTTGTTATGATGAACCCAGTGTTTCATACATGTTGAGCAAGTGATCTACCACTGAGCTCGTACCTCCCCCCAACAACCCCCCCTCTTGTTACAGAGATTTCAAACAATCTCAAAAATGTATGAAGTTAGAAAAAGGGTCCCTTACTTTTATTATGACTAGCACTATGCATTTATGTACATATATTTACATAATGAAAACACAGTGTGGGTCTGGGAAGATAGGTCAATCTGCAAAATGTTTGTCTTGAAAACATGAGGACCTCATGTTCCATCCCTACCTGAATTCCCAACTCCCAGAGAGAGGCCTGGTCTCAGAAAGTAAGGTGTGAACACCCAGGGTTTACCTCTGGCTTCTGGATCCAGCTGCACACTGGCTCATACATACATACATACATGCATGCATGCACACAGGTACACTGCTGTTTCTTTTTTTGCAACCTGCTCTCACTGAGAGCTGTAAGCTAGTATACTTAGAACTTTATTTCTCCTGTCACTTCACAGTCTAGGCATTCTGGCTTTTGAGACCTAGTTGATGTTGTTAGGATGGAAATTTCGTAATGAGAATTCTTTTTTCAAGTGTGCATGATTTCCATGCCTGTAGCTCCTGTTTTAAATGTATCTGATGGGCTGCAAAGAGTGGCTATAAGTGTCATTATCACTAATTGACACAAAAGACCATGCTTTTCTGCACTCAAAAAAAAAAAATTAAACTTAGCCAGGCAGTGGTGGCACATGCATTTAATCTACCAGCACTCAGGAGGCAGAGGCAGGCAGATCGCTGTGAGCTCCAGGCCAGCCTAGTCTACAGAACTACTTCTGGGACAGCCAAGGCTACACAAAGAAACCCTGTCTTGGAAAAAAAAAGAAAAAGGAAAACAATTTAAACGTTGAATGTCCTGAGTGCATGTGTAGTGAAGACAGACACCATGCACATTTGCTGTGCAATAGAACCAGTCACTTATCTCAAAACGATGTGGCAGTCGTTGTTTTCCCCATAGAAATATAGATTTTTTTTTTAGCATTCTTATCTGTGAGCCTTGCCCAGTAAATTCATTCTTGACTCATTAGTTGTTCCATCCTTGTTTTCATAGACTTCAGGGTTGTGATGGATAAGCCAGCATTCAGTTTTGTCTTACAGGAAGTCTTACTGTAAATTTTACTGTTTAAAATTTACTGTAAAAATTCTGTTTACTCCAGGCTTTAGTTTAGACAAGTGATCAGACCCTATGAGCCAGCTCTTTATTGGAAAGGGTTAGAGAAATGGAGCATCTGCATTGCCTACTCTGAGCTGCTGATTCAGCACAGAGAAGCAAGCTAGGTCCAGTTGCATCTTGGTCTCCTAGAACCAAGTTGTAGGGGACTAGAAATCTCTGATTACCCTTTTTGGGGTTTTAGAAAAATGCATTGTTTGCAAGGTACTCATAATTATTATAATAAATTACATTTAATAGTTTCAGTTTATACACAGGGACCCTGGAAGAGACTTTATTTAATTGATACAATTGGAAATAACTAAGAGGAAGCAGAAAGAAGTGAGAATAAGCACTTCAGCAATTCTGTAGCTGAACAGAGATACACAGTTAAAAAAAAAAGAGTTGCAAGTAGGAAATCAGAATCTGACTAAAATAGTAGTTCTTTTCTTAAAAAGAAAGTTGTTTTTTTTTTAATGTGTAAGCATGTTTACCTGCATGTATGTATATATATGGTATACATGCATACCGTGCCCACAGAGGCCAGGAGAGGGTATCAGATTCCCAGAACTGGAGTTACAAATAGCTCTGAGCCACCATGTGGGTGCTGGGAACTGAACTCAGGTCCTTGGCAAGAGCCACAAGTGTGCTTAACTACTGAACCATTTCTCCAGCCCCATTAGTTCTCTTTTTTAAATACATTTTTATTTGATGTGTGCAAGTGTTTGCCTGCATGTGTGCATGTGTACCGCATGCCTGTCTGATGGCTGCAGAGGCCAGAAGAGGGCTTCAGATCCCCAGAACTGCAGTTGGAGACTAGTTTTGAGCTATTCTGTGTGTGCTGGGAACCAAACTGGGTCCTCTGTGAGCACAGCCAAACCTCTTAACTGCTGAGCCATTCTCTAGCTCTAATGGTTCTTTTTATACTGAAGGAAAGTAGGGATGAGTTCTGAGGATGGAGTGTCATGGATAGACCTACATTTTTCAGCTTGTTAGTTTTAATGATGAAAATTTATCCCTTATATTTCAAACACCTCTTCCAATGTTTTAGATTTAAAATTTTTGAGAATTCCACATATGAGTGCCATATTTACATATTTTCCTTTCTTCTCCTTCCAACTCTTCCTGTGCCTCTACAACCCTCTCAAATCCATGACCTCTTCTATATCATTCCCACACATGCACACTCTACTAGTTGCTCAAATGTGCATGTATTTAGGGTTGGCCACTTGGGATTGAATAACCTATCAAGGCGGCTTGTCCCTGGAGAAAACGGATTCTTCCTGTCTCAGAGTTCATTGAGTACCTATAGTTGTTCATCTAGGAGTGAGGCTTTATGAGATGTCCCCATCCACACTGGCATGTCAGCTGGTGTCACTATGCAGTTCCTGTGTAGATTGCATGGTTACAGCATCCCTGTCATGTCTAGAAGATACTGTCTTGCAGCAGATATCATGGTCCTCTGGCTTATCTTTCCAAATCTTCTGTAATGTTCCCTTAGCCTTAGATATAGTGGGTCATCTCTTCATCTCTTCCACATGAGTGCTCATATGGAAGCAAGAGGTCCATATTGGGTATCTTTTGTTACTTTTCACCTTATTTTTTTGAAACCAAGTCTTTTGGTTTTTTGAGACAGGGTTTCTGTCTCTGTGTAGTTTTGGTGCCTGTCCTGGATCTTGCTCTGTAGACTAGGCTGGCCTGGAACTCACAGACATTTGCCTGGCTCTGCCTCCCAAGTGCTGAGATTAAAGGCGTGCACCACCACTGCCCAACTTAAAAAAAAAAAATTTAATGACTTTATTGTATGTGCATTGGTGTTTTGCTTGCATATATGTCTGTGTGAGAGTGTTGGATTCCTTGAAATTGGAGTTACAGACAGTTGTGAGTTGCCATGTGGGTGCTGGGAATTGAACCCAGGTCCTCTGGAAGAGCAGTAAGTGCTCCCAACCGCTGAGCCATCTCATCAGCCCCCTAAAAACATGGTCTTTTCTTTTTCTTTCTTTCTTTCTTTCTTTCTTTCTTTCTTTCTTTCTTTCTTTCTTTCTTTCTTTCTTTCTTTCTTTCTTTCTTTCTTTCTTTCTTTCTTTCTT